GATGTGATGGATGGGGAATATGTGGTTGAGGAAGATGGAAATTTATTGATGTGATGGAAAATATTATTTTATTGAAAAATATGTGATTAAAAATGAGTAGAAGAATGAGAATGAAAATATTAATGTGGACCAAACAAGGGCTAAAGGAGTTGTGATGATTCCAAGTTCATAAATTATTGCCCTCGTGTTGGAGAAGGCAGCTAACAAGAAATAATCATTTGTATAAATTATTGCCCTCGTGGAGAAGGCAGCTAACAAGAAATATTTTAAAATCATTTGTATATTTATATTTATATTCTTGAATTTATCGATGTTGTAAATCATGATCAGAATTCAGAGGATTGAACCCACACTATTTCAACTTTTATAAAGAGTAGTTATATTTACATCATAATTTTTATTTTCGGTACTACATTTTAATTACACTCACGGTCATTAATATATCTCATTATAGCACTTTTATTCCTAACGATTTTTCATGGCATTTTTATCCTTAAATTTTTTTATTAATTAACCAATTTTGTATTTGATAAAAGTTTTATGTTCAAAAATTTGATGAAACGACGTAAAATAACTTATTTTTCTATCATATTTTTTTCAACAAAAAAATAATTATCCATCATTTCAAAGTATGAAAATAAAATATTTTGATATCAATATTCATCAAGGGTGAAACATACTAATTAATAGAAGATTGAAGATAAGAATTAAACGAAAAAATGTTAAAGAAATAATTGTTACAATGATCAAAGACTGGGGAGTTTAACTATAATTAAATATGATATATCATATAAAAATTGTGGTGGCAATATAATTACTATTTGATAAATGTTGATTAGTCGTATATTTCATTAGAATTATGCTACAATGACATAATGATTAATATAATGTCACATGGTACTTCATTATTGGTTTGTTTTTAATACAGTCAACTTTTCTATCCAATCACATTTTGTTAACATATATTATGTTACCTCATCTGTCAACTCCTTTTTTGATAAAGTGGCATATTCGATTTCATTATAACGCTATAATTCACAATATCATTTCCTGTTTGATTCATTCGAATTTCGTATTAGAAGTTGAGATAAATTTACA